ACAAATGCACAAATGAATGATATTTCCGTAGCTACTTGGCAGAGAAGCAGACAGATAAAAAAACAAACAGATTGGTAACATTAAAGACTAGGAGACATGAGTAAACCAGATTGGTTTTACCAACAATCGACAATGGATTCACGGTCATCATTACATTCTTAATTCCAAATATTTATCAAATTCAAATTCCAGCATCTGCTGTGGCAGGATTTGAACACAGTCCCCAGAACATTCTCTGGGTCTCTAGATTAACAGTCCAGCAATAATACCACTCGGCCATCTGGATCTCCCTGCTATAGGAAGGATGCTTTGTAGAACACCTACGCTCGGTTCACAATAAACAACTGCACCTCCCTGTCGCGAACCATTTCAACTCCCCCTCCCATTCCTCAGACGACATGTCCATCCTGGGCCTCCTGCAGTGTCACAATGATGCCACCCGAAGGCTGCAGGAACAGCAACTCATATTCCGCTTGGGAACCCTGCAGCCCAATGGTATCAATGTGGATTTCACAAGCTTCAAAATCTCCCCTCCCGCTACCGCATCCCACGACCAGCCCAGCTCGTCCCCGCCTCCCTAACCTGTTCTTCCTCCCACCTATCCCCTCCTCCCACCTCAAGCCACACCCCCATCTCCTACCTACTAACCTCATCCCACCCCCTTGACCTGTCCGTCCTCCCTGGACTGACCTATCCCCTCCCTAACTCCCCACCCACACTCACCTTTACTGGCTCCATCCCCACCTCTTTGACCTGTCTGCTTCCTCTCCACCTATCTTCTCCTCTATCCGCCTCCCCCTCTCTCCCTATTTATTTCAGAACTCCCTTTCCCTCCCCCATTTCTGATGAAGGGTCTAGGCCTGAAACATCAGCCTTCCTGCTCCTATGATGCTGCTTGGCCTGCAGTGTTCATCCAGCTCTACACCTTGTTATCTCAGGCTCGTATCCAGTGGGGTTTCAAAGAGGTAGAGATAACTTGATTGAAACATATAAAATTCTGAAGGGTCTTGACAGAGAGGATGTGGAAAGGATGTTCATCTTATAGGAGAATCTAGAATTAAGGACCACTGTTTAAAAACTGAGTCAGACGCTGTGGCAGCAAATCTGCAGCCAGGGCTCAGAATGGGAAGGTTTTAGAGACACTCTAGCTTGGGGAGGAGGGGAAGGAGATGACAGTCACACCCTGGGGCAGGGGGAAGGGAAGGAGATGTGAGTTGCACCACAAACGGGAAGGATGTGATAGTCTAAATTTCAGACTTGTAAAAATTGTACATGGATTGAAGGAATCAGCAATACCTTTGTCTGGAATAAACTGTTAAGGGACAAGGACAAACTATCATACAGGAATTGAAAGCATTTTGCCATGCAAACTGGAAATGAAGGAATGGAAGCTACATAAGCAAAACTGTTTTAACACCTGCCTGATAAACTGGCTGCTTTATGTCACAAAGGCAACCGATTGCCCCACAGAAGAATTTATGGAGTTTAACAACAGGGAACCTGTGTTTTCAAACAGACAGTCAATGCCTGATGTAACAAGGAACAGGGAAGCTACTGCTGATTATTTAATATTGTCACTTGTACCTAAGTCTGTGAAACGTGTATAATGTTGCCACACTCTGGCACCATCCTGGATTACAAAATAAATGACTGAATAAATTGCATAAACTGTAAGGTAGTGAATAAATTGATATTAAACTGATATTACTGAGGCTGGCACAGTTTCAAAAGTTCAACTTTCCCTCTCTGTAGCCTTCATATTCTCTGCTCGTCCAGTTGCCACCATCCAACATCGTCCCCGGGCTCCTGGTAATGTGCTCTTTCTCTGCCGCTTCCACCACCATCGTTACCGCGGGTCCCACATGTCCTCCAATGCCGGGCATTGACAGACGGGATCCTGGCTCCAAGCTTTCCGATGCCATCCGAGATGGAGCAGGGATGGAGATACACGGGGCCCCAGCCTCCCGCAGGAGGACATCAGGAGGAGGGTCCAGGACAACAACAAAAAATAGTGACTGAGCCAGGAAGACAACGATGAAGTTGTATGGATATGGCCAGAGCCGCCGCACAAGCCCATGATCAGCTAAGCCCCACGCCCAGGAGCTGGATGCTGCCTCCCGCCATCTTGGAATATTGTGGATGAAAGAACCCAAAGGATCATCAATAATGTCACACCACAAACTTGAAAAGAGAGAAAATTATATATACAAGAATTCAACTCCAGGACTCTTCAGCAGCAGAACTTCAAAGAACAACACTGCGCAAGGATTGAATCCTGGACATCCAGAGACAGATGCTGTTGGTTGGAAACATCGCTAAATTCCACTGTTAATCAGTTAATAGCCAAGCCAGGTTGTGAGACTTCACTTGTTTACTTGAGGGCTTAAATAACTGTTTCAGCGTCCGCTTGTCTCTGCGATTTCTTAATAAGCAGCCAAATTAAAGGTAACTTGTGGTAAATTACCACAAGGAGAGTCGCACCATGGGGTAAGGAGGTGAGTCACACTGTAGTGAGGGTGGTGGGCTGGGGGGGGAAAGGAGATGAGAATTGGACGATGGAGGGAGCTGAGAGTCAGGCCTTGATGGTGAGAAGGGAAAAAGATAATCAGGCAGCTGTGGTGCTCCCACTCACTTTTCTTTCTTTTCATTTTTACATTTGCATTTAGGTCTCTCCAGAAAAAAATAACTCTGTCACTTTCATTTCAACATGAATGTTTGTTTGGTTGTGGGTGGTGGAGCGGGGGTGTGAATATTTGAGCTGTTAATAATGTTTGGAGTGCAAGGCCCCATGGATTATTTTCTTGAGGTTAAAGGGGATAGAGTAGGAGGGGAAAAGAGAGACAAAAGTGTCAAGAGAGAAAGAGGGAAAGGGATAGAGAGTATGTGGGGGGCAGGGGGGCGGGGTGGAGACAGAGAGAGAAAGAG